CAGGCTTTATCAAAGCCGTCAAGCATACGTTCCATTTGGCTAATGTTTGGTGTTACAAGGACGACGTCATCAGCAAAGCCAAGATGGTGCAACTGTCAACCGTCGATTTTCACTCCCATATTATCCCATTCCAACGTTTGCATGACGTTCTGGATGGTGGCGATGAATAATTTTGGCGAAATGGTATCGCCTTGCCTAACTCCTCTTTTGACGTCAGTGTTAATACCGTTGTAGAATGGTGATATTTTGGCTGTCAAATTTCTCTACAGCTCACAAAGAATCTTGCAGGGACTTCTTGACTGTCAAGGGCTTCCAAGACTGCTTCTATCTGAACTGAATCAAACGCCTTCTGTAAATCGATGAAAAAGACAGAGCGGTCTTTTGTACTCTCGCGATACTTCAGTGAGCCGTGTTACCATGTGGATGTGGTCCATCGTACCAAATCCTCTTCGAGGCGCTGCTTGCTCACATGACTGTCCTTCGTCTAGTGTCCTGTCAATCCTGTTTAGGATGACTCGAGTGAAGTTTGTAGACGACAGACAGTAAGCAGATTGGGCCATAGATGTCGATATCGTGCAGGTCACCCTTCTTGAACAATAACACTGTCCTGCTGGTCTTCCACTGAGTAGGGACCTTGCATTCAGAGAGGTAACGTTTGAAGAGCCGAGCTAGTGTGCTTACGAGGACTGGTGGAAGGTCTTCAGGTGTTCTGGTCTTTTCCTGTTCGCACCCGGCGCTGCTCGATTTTTCACCGACGAAATGGCATGTCGGATTTAGGAATGGAGAACCAGTGGTACAACATATCCATCCTCCGTTATTTCAAATGATGGAAGGCAGACGTGGCTATCGAAGAGATCCGAGTAGTATTCGTGAATGATTTTCTCCATTGCCTTTCTAGACGCTGTACATGTTCCGTCTAGGCGCCGGATAGTCATTTTGGCCTTGCCATTGGCGAAGCTTCGGTGGGCTTTGCGAATGCTTTTCCCAGCCTCTGCAGCTTCGGCCATCACTGCTGCTCTTCTCTCTTTAAGATCTTCCTTTATCGCCTCTCTGCATTCTTTTGCAAGTTCGGACGTTAGATCGCGGTTGCCTGCAGCTCGTGCGATTCCACGCTGGCGTATCAACTCGAGTGTTTCTGGAGGCAGACGTCTCGTGGTGACTTTCGAACTCTGAGCTTTCATTGCGCTAACGTGAAGATGTTGAATGAGCCGATCGTATTCTTCGCCTATGTTATCGACAACGGCATCTTCCCAACAGCAGCCTAGTGAATTGAATAAGACCCAGTTTACGTTGGTTCTGCGACTTCGGTTTTTGAGTAACTCCCACGACCGACTTTCTATTAACCTCGGTATTGATCAAGTAATTCTTCGTATTTTTGTTGAGCAAACGCGTGGTGTTATTATTCTTTATTCAAGAATAAGCTGACGTTTCGGCGGATTTCGCTTTTCTCAGAGCCGCTTTCTATGAAGTTTTCACTAAGTATGTCACGTAGAGACCTCTCAACAAAAATACGAAGAATTATTCCGTTTTTGAATTTGGCGGCTTTTTCTCCTTTCCGCCATAACTAGAATCTTGCACGAAGGATACGGTGATCTGATCCCGTGTAGAATTTTGGAACAACAGCAACATCGGCTAGACAAAACCTTCTATTTGCCACGATGTGGTCTATTTCGTTATAGTACTCTCCATTGGGAGACTCCCACGTCTAGCGTTGAGGGTGGGGCTTCTGGAATTGCGAGTTATCATGGATGGTCCTGATCGCCATGATAAACTCAGATAGCCGCTTGCCCTGTTCGTTTCATTCTAATCCGTGGAACTCAAGGTGACGTTCTTCAGACGTTCTTCTTGGTCCTATCTTGGCGTTGAAATCTCCAATGATTATCTTGAAGAATGTATGGTCTTCTCTGTAGAACCTCTCCAAGTCCATATAGAACGTTTCAACTTTCTTTCTATCATGGTTTGATGTCAGCACGTAAACGACGAAGATTGTCAAAGCCGGAATTGATCCCCGTCTTTTTAATCGTAAACGTCCGATTCGGGTTGTAAGTTGTTCGAATGAAACGATGTGCATGGACAAACTCGTGTTGACGAGAACGCCGACGCCGCCGACCCTACTGTCTCATGTTCCGAGGAACAGTTCTTCTCCGGTGCCATAGACATAGTTGAGTGGGTGGCGTCGTCTCGCCTCGACCATGCCGATGACGTCGTACCTTATCCTTCTTGCTTGCACGAGCAAGACTTCTATCGAGGATTCCGATGTAAGTGTACGTGCATTGTAGGTACAGATCGTCACCTTAGTTCTTTGTTATCCAGGCAGCTTCCATTGACCCTGAGATTTTAGCAGCTTCTCCGTACTCGTCCTACCCAATGCTGCTACATTGGGGCACTTTCGGGGTCAGGGGAGTGAGGCCCGATTTCCTTACTGTGTTTTGCCTTTTGATACCCACGTATAGCTTGCTGGGCTGCGAACGTGGATGGCTATACTCACAGGTAGCTTACCAGGCTCTCATGGAGTGGGCATGGAGCTTGTTTGTTTGAGGCGACTCCAAACCGCCTCCCATATACTTCCCAGCCACTTGATTGCAGGCTGTTGCCCAAATTGATTCCTAGAATACAATCCGCATAAGCAAGAACGCACCCACACACGCATGCATGTATAAGCCTAACAAATACAGAAAGTATGTGCCAAATCAGGGCATCAGAAACAGGAAGTCCGTCCCCTGGATCCACCTGCGTCTCAGGGAGGCGAAGGTGGCTTTCGGTCCGCGATTAACCCCCTATCCGACACCAGGGGACGCGCAACGTAGCATCGCGGCTAACCGGCTCGAAATCACTCATATGAGGGAGATCCGTGCATCATGAATAGTAGCCGTAAAAATTTCCGAGAAATCTTTGAAGAAGTAGCAGTTAAAAAAATAAGCGCTAAAAATGAAAAGTTACTTAAAATTTCTTGGGAAAAGGCAATATGGAAGCTTACTTGAAATTTCAGCGTTAAAGAAAGATTTACAATGAACTTTATACCTTAGCACTAAGAGTACATTTTATTGATTGTGGTTTTTGTTGATTGATTGATTTATTGATTGTGGATTTTATTGATTGATTGAGGAATAATTTGTTAGAAAATAATGACATACAGCTACTTTTCCTACTGCCGACATTTGTGGAACGTAAACGAGGTGAATGACCCATTGCTACTACGAATGAAGTTATGATACCATTTAAATGAGAATTTAAGCGTAGAATGAGCAACGAAATGTATACGTAATCGCGCATTCCAAAGGAGAAAGTTTTTTGCGTTGCAGATGTATCGTGAGAGTGCTGTTGCTGACGAAATGTCAATGTGATTCACAAGGCAGAAGTGAGACAGTCGGAATTACACAATGCGATTCTGATTGCTGGTGCCGTTGCTGCGATTTTCGCTACGGCGATCTGGGAAAGATGCATTGCAGAAGTGTGCGTAGATATGACACAGACCTTGAAGCTATTGCTATAAATATGGGCTTTATGGGTAAAATATGGCGACTTCTTAGACCAATAAAAGGATTGAGCAGACTGGGTTCGGCGTTGATCAATGCCTGACGGATGCGCTATGCACTAGACTTCAACAAGCATCGTTGGAGGTGACTGAGTATCTGGAATACAAAGTGGCGCATGATGGCTTGCCGATAGATTAAATCAGCGCTGATATCTTCGAAGACAAGCTTAGTTCCACTTTTCCGACTGTGAGAACGGAGGACTTAGTGGGTGAAGGGCGTGGGATAAAAGCAGCGACCAGGTGCGTATTGCAGAGCATCTCTAACCACTTTGCTACACGTGCTGCTTTAATAGTTCGTAGTAAAGTTACTTAGATTTTGTCACAACACAAAGAAAGAGAAGAACGACTGTTTAGGCTGGAATGGCGTCTCTTATAAAGCATATTCTCATGGTCATAAAACTGTTTGCCGTACCTTTCCTTTCTACGGATGGACATTTCGGCTAAGGAAGAGCTAGACTGTGAGGAGGAAGATGACTATGAAGGAATAGTACTAGTGAGGAAAGGTTACAGTGCACACTAGTCCAAACTCTGAAAATGATGAACACGTTGCAAAGTGTGTGCGCAGTCAAATGCAATGTGGAAGCCACTACTGGAGTAATTATGATGAGCAATTATGATGCTCATACACCCAGAGGAGCCCGTATAGCGCAGTGGTCGAAGGCGCCCTGCGATACATATGGGATGGATCCCACGCCTCTGGCCCACCAAGTCTTGCGTCCCTCCGGAGTCCAAACCTGTATTGGCAACAGACTGGCCTAGGAGGAAAGTAGCACTGGCTCGATACATCGGTGGGCCACCCCGAGGCATTGCAAGGCAAGATATAAGTTCCATCACCTGCAACGATGCTTAATTAAGTCAAATGCATGGCACATCTCTCAGCGATTGATCAACGCCGAAAGCTTTGGCCTTTTATGACATGCAGAAACAAGTTTAAATAGAAATTAGCCGACCACATATTCGCCAAACTTCGATACTGTTCTGTTCTACTTGTGCTTGTAGTACTAGTAGATCCACCCTCATTCAACTGCAGAGATTCATAAACGCGTCCACGAACATGTGACGATAAGTCCTCAGCGTACTCACAGTACTGCTCACATTTAAACATTTTTGCCAGCATTTGAATTGCTGCGCTTGAAGACAAGGCGGTACTGTTGCCGTCGATAGTCGCTAATTCGTCGTTCGGCGAGCGGTCGCGGTGCGGTTCGCGTTCCCTTCAAGAGACCTGATCTGTCGGTTCCAGCCAAGGAAGTAACTAGTATATGTGATTTCGCTGACTCGTCATTCTTCGTAATCGTTGATGTCACATTAGGAGCTGCTGACCTTCTCATTGTTTGTCGCTGAGTTACGTAATTTTCCAGGGATGTGGACTGTATTCCAAATTCGTGTATGTGGGTGAGCTCTAAACGAGAAGTCGTTCCTTAATGAACAGCTAAGGTTCACGTTGGTTTTATTTTTCATACGACGCATGATGTCTTCCACGAACATCAGTTTGGAAGAAGACTCTGGAGTCATAAAATCAGGCCCTGTAGTCGCTGGTTTCGCACCAATCGTAAGTTGTTCATTTCTGTGTGTTCTTTACTGCATTCACATTGTGCTTTTCGCCTTCCGTCCGAGATGTTTGAGGAAAAAAAACCTCGTGCATTATGTGTTTGCTAACATAAACATCCTTATCAACCTCGTCTTAGCTCATCAGTGAAGGAAAGTGAATTCATCATACCGAGGCTAAAGAGGATGTCAATTTTTGAGAAGGAAAAAGTTACAGTGTTAACTTTTTTATTTGCTGCCTGCTATAATTTTTGAGGGGAGGGTATGATGTAGAATACACAGGCACAACGATGCTGATATTCTCAAAACGGACCTCGGGGCACATCGAACCTCGATTACTCTTTCCGGTGGCTCGGATCATTCTCACTGACGGGTGACTGCTGGTGGCAGCATTAGGTGGAAAATTAGCTGAGAGAAGCGCAAAGCAAAGCCCTTCGTTGTTCCACTGTGTTATACGCGAGGGAGAGGGTAGTCGTGGTTCGATCCAGCCAGTGTCCAAGTTTTGTAAACATCATTAGTTTACTTCCTGTCTTTTATTTAAGTTGGAAACTTTCATGATGAGTTTTCAGAAGTCGAGGAAAAGTTACTATGCCGTGTTATGTGAGCGCGCCTTGGAACTACATGATAGCGAGAAGACGTACAGAAAGGGCAAGCCTGCTCGTTATCTCATTGATCTGTCAATAGCCTTCAATCTACACAATGAGCATGTGAGTAGTAAAAGTTTTGTAGTACGATACTAGTATATCAGGATGTAATCGAAGACTGGTCTTCAGTACTTTTCAGTAGTTTTTCTTTCTTTTCAGCTTGTCATTCATCGTTGATTAAAAGAACGTGTGGCGTTTGTTTGTTTTCTTCTGGTTTTTCTTTAACTATGTACCACTCCAATAGCATAAGTATAGGTTCTTTCTGAGTGAGATGTTCAAGAAACTGTCTCTTTTAAGTTTCTAGTCTTCTATTGTTTCGCCTTCGCATATTTCTTGAAAACTTTTGGCTGCTTTTGTTTAGAAGTCCATGGGTAGCAATGAATGCTAGAGTATGTTCCCTTCCAAAAAGCCTTCATAAATCCTCTTTCACAACAGTATATTCTAGAACATAGGTTATCTTCATATAATATGTAAGTTATGGATTTACTGTTAAACTGCTAATGGGTTTTTAAGTATTGTTAGTTTATAAGACTATATGTCTTTGTTAAAGAATTGTGGATCTTTTCAGTTGGATCCGAAACTGAAAAGGTGTGTCTGTTTGATGGGACCTGATGAGACGTTGTGTCTAAAGGTAGATGACGCTGGTAAAGGAGGGGATGAAGGACGCCAAAATGCAGAGTGGTACAACGCCATTATGTCTGCCCTCATCCCATCCAGAGTCCTTCGTTTGGGAAGACCTATACAACCGCAGGAATTCTTCGGTAATGTTAACCTTTAAGCGTACATATGAAGAATGTTGTTGGATTGTTGTTATTTTCATCGGGAGTTTTTTGCTAGCAACTTCTATAAATGTTGCTTGAATCCTTGATTTTCTCCTCTAATGTGCAATTGAGTGAACGACTGATGGGTTACGCAGTATTCTCACTTAACATCCATATGACCCACAGTATTTTAGAGTGCGCATGGGATGTCGATGTGGTTAATGCACCGAAGGTAAAAAGGCCTGGTCGTTGTGAGGAACCGCTACAAAACATATGCCTTCGGCTTCCTGAGATCGCTGGACAGAAACGGTGCTGTTGACATCCTTGATTTACTTTGAGATATTATAGAAACTACCAATGAAATTGTTTCGTTTTTGGATATGTGAGATATGATGAAGAACGATAGTAATTTAGGTACTGATTGTTTTTTTTGTTTGGAGGAAAAATTTAGATATTTGTTTATAAGTAATACTTGTGTGGTTTTTTTTTTGGTAGAATAGCACTTGCGCAGGTATACTAACAGCGCTTTGTTGCCATGGAATAGGAAAATCTGAGAGATTGTTTGGAAATCTCCAAGTTTTTCATTTCTGAGTAGTTATCTTCCGATATTCTAGATCCGTGGTAGAACCACTTAAACCTTCCAGTAATTAATCTTTTATCCAATTTATTCTGAACTCTGGGAAACAATGGAAACTTTAAAAATACTCTCTCAAATTTTCAGGGGGTCATTGGTGGCCATACAGGTTTCAACTACAGAAAAGTGTTCAATAGGCCTAGTGTTCTTGCAATATCGTTTGTTCGGTTGAAAATCCTTCACGGAGCTAGTCATTTCGAATAAAAGTCGTTATTAAATAGCACTGGATTTAAATGCGGTTATTAATACTTTGGTTTTGAAATTTTAGCATTATTTCTGTTTTTGCCATAGTTCATAGGGCACCATATTACCAACATTGTACATTTATAAGGTAATTTATGCTCAGATTACAGGCTATGTTTTTACGCTCACACTATCGCTGTTTGTAAACGTCGAATTGAACCTGCCACACATGGTATTCCTTCGTCGGGTATCCCACCATTTCACGTAGATGACTTTTTTGAGATTCCAGTGAGTATGCACTTAACATTCTCTACCGATGTTTTACTGCCATAGCCGGATTACCGTTGACACGACATTACCAGCTGTTCGTGGTTGTTCGTAGCCAGTTGTGGAAAAACTACCTTATAATTTTTTTTCTATCAATTTGTAGTAATGTATGCGCCTTCATACAATAAGATACGTATTGCTGATGAGCGCTTAATCATTATGAGGTGAACATTCTTTGACTAATTATAACCAGAACGATTGTAACAAAGCTGCTACTAATGATTACTATTGGATTCTTATTTTCCTGGTTCTCATTCTTCGTCTTTTAAAACACTATTCGAGATTGTTTTTCCTTTTTTCCCTTTTCTCTTTTTTATACCGATTCATCGCACCTACGTGTTTTCGTCGAGCAGTAGCTCTGCAATTTTAATAGACTGGTAATATTATACATTCGCCGTAATTACGTCGTTGGTTGGGTATTTTTTATAAGCGGGTCTAATCCGTGATGTTTATACCATAATACAGGAGCTTTTTTCTGTGAACGGGAACACAATGTAAATGGTTCCGTGTGCTTATACAGCTTGAAGAAACCTTGATTTTATATCGATAATACGATTGGCCACTCTGTGGCAGTAATTATTTCATCTTCCTTTGACCAGCAAAATAAAAATGTTAGTAATTTCATTACTATATTTTGCATGAGAAGTGTTCTACATATCTCGAGGTTAAAAACAAGATATTTCTTATTTTTCAAAATCGGCCATTATTTAACCTTGGCAGGGTTAATCAATATCTTTTGAGATCACTACAATAATGCTGAGATATTTGCAAAACTCCGGACTGCAGGTGTCTACGGTGGGAAACAAACGCGCTATTGTCTTTTCCGGGGGGTAACGTGCTCACCACCGCACTATGCAAGTCCTTCGTTTCACCCGTCTCTCAATTTGAGATTGTTCATTTTACACGCTGAACAATCTCTTATGATATTGATATTTCTTGTTGCTTGTAATAATAGGAAAGGGGTTGATGGCACTCAGATGGCTGAGAATGACGATGTAACGCAAAACCTCTCGATGTAAGATTAAAACAAAATTAACGAAGACAAAGTAATGGTACTTAAGTTGTTTTTTTCTCGTACAATTTAGTTCGGAGCACTTTTTAAACTGTTAATATTTAGGTGTAATTCGATTTTAAACCTGCGTTGGAGTCATTTTAGCAATTCTTCTTCTTGGTTACAGGTTTATTTATGTTTTTTCTTTGCAGCGAAAGTGTGTGGCATTCTTTGGCTGTCAAGAGCGGTTTTTTCTTATGCGGTTAGGTCGAGGTTCACCAATGGGAGCGAGTGAGCTGTGGGCTCAGTGTGAGAGCGAAGAAGTGAGTCTCATTTTCTTTATTATGTGTTGCTTGAATAATAGTATCGTCGGTCAAGTAGATTACAGAGAATTGTGTGGGCCTTAGGACAACTTCCTTTGAGTGGTAATTTGTTGGTCGGGTAGGTTCTTCTTCCCTTGGATGTGCTTAGGGCTTCCAAATCGACACCGCAAGCAGTGGCCGACCTTTGTGGATTGGAAGGGAATGATTTGTCACCTTGCGGTTGACTTGCTGCTAGGACGACAATGTTTCATGGCGTCGATTTGCTCTTTAGGAGACTTCCGAATGAAAGTTTCCTACTTTTTCGTAGCTTGGGAAACCCTGTTGAACGGTACGCTGTAGTCTGTATACGGTGCATGAATATGAGAGACCTTTCTCCCACCTTCAAAGATGAGGTACTAAAACTTTCATAAGGGCGAACTGGGCTACGCAGTGATTCTAACGAATTGCTACTCTTTGCATCAATCAGTAGGTGTAGTAATTAGCATTACTACAGGGATCAAGGTGTTCAAAAGTTTGGAGAAGCGAATTATTACGTCAGCCAATATTTTAATCCTGTTATTTGTAGGTGATGCATTAATATAGTTGAACGAAGTTATCACTATGGAGAACTCTTTAAAACATTCGCCACGATGTGCATTCTGTAAAATGTTATCCGATTGGCCTATATGGCCTATATAGGGGACATTTTCTTTCTGATGCTTGACTGTTGGGCACAGAACCCTTTTCCTGCAGTTTTTTGTAATCAATGGATAGCTAGTCCAGTTGTGACGGTCGTCGAACGGTAGTCGACTGTAGAGCGCTATGCTTCACTTAAAAATATACAGAAAACCAAAAATAATTTTGAATTGGAACGTAATTTGTTCCAGGTTGCTCACGATATCCACAATAAGTTGAATGTTATAATTGAAAGGGAATCTGAGAAGAAGAGGAAAATGAACAATGGGTGAGTTGATGTAGAGTCACCGCAGTGAAAATCACTTTTATGTATAAGAGTGGTTTTTCGAGCCGCGCTGTATACCTTAAAACTTAAGCAACAGACTTTAACTTGGCGTGACATTTTGGTTAATAGTATGACTAGCAATACAGCGAGTTAGTACGGAATCTGTTTTTGTCATTTAAGGCACGTAAAGGAAGCGTTTTTGTTCTTTTTTGTGGTACTCGTCCAAAAATTTCGTCATGCCGCATACTGCAAACCATCCAGTTCGTCTTGGTTATTCAATGATACTCGACTATCGTTGACTAGTTCTCAGCTCCTTCTTATCCACACTTGTCGTGAATCATCAATTTTCTGGTTAGCTACATACTCAGCTGTAGAATGTCTGAACGAAAGCTAAGGCTGCCCTATTTTAAATCTCCGGTTAAAGACTTGGTAGTAGGAATATGTATATTCTGCGGTTACAGATTTTTCTTTCCCGTAGTTCTTCTGAGATTTGAGGTTCACACAACCACTTATTCAAATGTTTAACTTGCCATGTGATAGAGTAAAAGATTGCATGCCGTTGGGTGAAATTTGCTCAGTAGATGTGACGTAAATGTTCTATTTTTCTTCGGACTTCTAGTGTTGTAATGCCACCTGGACTTCTTTCTCTTCGTTCTCACCATGGACACCATCGTGAACGTTCTCATACTCAACCGTTTAGACAAAGGACATCATCTTTCTTTAGTGGGTTAGTTACGTTTTCACACATTACTTTTATTCTTTACTAATACTTGCAAATATGGCATCTACCGTAACACCTTTTTAAAGTTAATTGCTAGCCATTCCGTCATAGTTCACCACTGTTATGGTCTCAACTACTTTTCCAAGAACTGTAATTTTTTCAGTTTTTCATTTTGTATAATATATTGTTGCAGGCGAGTAGGTTCTTCGGCCTCTACATCCAATGGGATTATTAGCCGCAAGCCATCTGATTCTTCAGGACCGCATCCACAGCAGCTTGGTTCAAGAGCGTTATCTGTATCTTGTGGTTCTCAAGGGCAATTGGGGAGTAAATCAAGCGTTAGCAGTCTGATGTCTATATTCCCAAATCGGTTAGTGTGCTGCTCATATATTCGGCGAATTTTCATATGTCATAATCATTTCTTCGTTCCTATTTACGATATAGAAGAAATCGAACACTAAAACATGACCTAGGAATAATGTAAATGTACTTATTGGCAGTGGTACATTCAGACAACAACTTACAGTATCAGTAATAACGTCTTTATGTGGTTTAGTTGGCTATTGACTGTAACATTTTAATGTCTTGGGGTATTGTTGTAGACAATAGAAGCGATTTTCTCAGTAGAGGTGTTGAATTTACATGGAAGAGTTTTTATAGTTTTGAAGATTTTGTTCTTCGCTTTATTCAGAGACAGCAATACTTCTCTCGCATCTAAAGAGGACTGTGGGGTTTATCAGCAAATGGGGGTACCTTCAAATCTACAATCTTCTACATCTATTTCTACAACCGATGAAACTGAGAATAGGTAGTTTATGTTACGATTCACGCTTTCTTTAAACCTTAGTTGTTGATATATGTGCAGAATTCCACAGAATATTTCAGCGGCGGTACCATT